TGCTAGTTCTTGGACCTTATAGTGGCAAGTACCATAATGCATAATTTTTTCTATGAAATGTGGAACCTGCTTTAGTTGAAATTTATGAGTACTTTCACTACTAGGGGAAAAAACAAGAAGAAGATCTTTTAGACCAGGTAAAATACGTAATTTAAAGTTTAAAACCAAAGACGTGACTAGCGTAAAAACTACTAGTTCAAAAAGTTCTCCTTTATATTAGCCACGAAACCAGTGCCGAAAAGGTAACTTTTTTAGATTGGTTGTATTGCCAACCTGCGTGCATATGGGAATTTTCATTAAAAAAATCCACTTCTTAAACCGGCTATATTTGTTATAGTAGGTCTAAGTAGACTTTTTCTTTTAATTATCATTTTTCTTATACTACCTAGTTGTTCTTGAGAAAATTACACTCAGGTCCCACAGAGCACAATTAATATCAAAAATGTCCCTCGAAATCGCGAAATGATTCTGAAGTCCCCAGGGACCTGTGTGTAATTAATTCTAATTGTGAAATTACATAGTTACCCTTGTTAATTTAAACCTATTTACAACCTCAACAATGGCTGTTAACAACCCGAGAAGAGGTGGTTAACAACCTCAACAACGCCCCTGGCATTCCACAGAGTGAGTTGTCATGAGCACTGCCGAGGTTGTCAATCACGTTTTCTCGGGTTGTTAACAGCCATTGTTGAGATTGTAAACGAATTGTTGCAATAAAATTAGAACTTATTTACAATCTCAACAGTGGTTGTTAACAACCCGAGAAGAGGTGGTTAACAACCTCAACAACGCCCCTGGCATTCCACAGAGTGAGTTGTCATGAACACTGCAGAGGTTGTCAATCACGTGTTCTCGGATTGTTAACAGCCACTGTTGAAATTGTAAACGAATTGTTGCAATAAAATTAATAGGGGTAAGTAGGTAATTTCACAATTAGAATTAATTACACACAGGTCCCTGGGGACTTCAGAATCATTTCGCGATTTCGAGGGACCTTTTTTATATTAATTGCGCTCTATGGGACCTGAGTGTAATTTTCCCTTGTTCTTATGTAGTTATCTTTTCAAGTTTTATTTATTTTACTTGCTTTATTTTGCCACCTATATGCAAAAGGGTTAAATGATTTTTTTTGTCTTGGATTTCATGGATGCAATTTAATCCCGATGTTTACTTACTGTGGAACGCCGACTCCTTTTGTAAGTATCGATAAAGTTGGATTTCACAACTCTTGAATTAGATTCTACATTTTATAATATTAGGCATTTTTATCATTAGCATTAAAATGAAATATACAATGTCCCCCAGCCATTGTTAGAGGTGACAAAATCGCAGAATCTTATTGAATGAAACAAATGTTAAAAAGATTTGATTCCAAATTTGCAAACAACATTTTATATGATTAATTATGATTGAAAAGAGCAGGTTTTGGTCACAAAGAAAACCAAAGTGACAGTCTTGGTTGCCACTTATTTTGGTTTCCTTTATGAAGACCTATCCTACTTAATCACATCAACCATACAAATTGTAGCAAGCAATTCCAAAATTGACTCTACTATGCTTAGTTTCTTTAAACAGGAATATTCCCCTTTACCACACCCAAGCAAGAGGTTGGACAAATTCGCATGTTCCATTTCAACCCCCACAAAAATCTAAATGCCCAAGCTTAGTGAACCCACCACCCAATTCAAGGACGCTGCATTTAACCTTAGCGATTCTAGCAAAAGGAATTGAGCATCTGCTGCAAGCATATGTCATGGTTAAATTTTGATCAACACATACTGCCAATACTTAGAACAATTGTCCAAGTCCTTACAAGGTGGGGGTAAAGCAACCCAAAAAAAAAACTTGTAGAGAAAACAAAAGCCAAAACAATCCAACTAATATTTAGATGTTCATCAATTTCAATTCATACAATAACAAACAACACTTAACTCTTAGGCATCACAAACAAACCCTTCAATCATACGGATACATCATCACCAAGATTTAGGAAATTCTAGCTCAAGAATACAAATTCATTTTCCATTATTCAGACCTAAGTTATCTAAGATTCTTATTTAATATTAAGCAACACTAATTTGAGCATATAAGATACTAATTCCAAATATAATAACAAGAACTAGCATTAAGACAATGAAACTCAACTGAAAAAATTTACCAAACAGTAACACCCATGCAAATTAGAAGTTACTTCCAGCTTATAAAGACGCCATTTATGGGGTATAAACAAGGGCATGGAGGTAATATGACCATTATATTTTTTTTTTTGGGTTAGGAACAAATATCCTCCTATTGGAGGCAATTTTGTTCGAGACACTTTCGGATACTAAATGTAGACACTTCTTTCAGCGGAGATTTGAACATTAGTTAACCATGTTACGGGAAACTATGCTACTATAAAAAAGGCCTTTTAAGGCAGTTACAATGAAACTTTCATGATGATTTTAGTAATAATGTATATGCCGTTGATGTAACAAATTAGAGGATTTATCGGTGGTTAAAAAATCGCCATGGTAAGTAACTTTCCAAGGTAGTTTTAGCTGTAACCATTGTGACAGGTGTTCAATAAAACATGTTTTATGGGCAACTTTCGACGACGGTTAACCTATTAGCGAAATAGAATATCATTTGATAACTAAAATCCAAATCCAATAATAAGATAATCAAAATTTGCAATCCTAATTCAACTAAACCTAGTTAACAATCAATACAAAAATGTTCACAATTCATCAATCACACTAATTGTTTATCAACCTATCAACTCAACTATTGTTTTTGCCAAACCATCTCTCAATGTGTTGATGTCGTCGACTTTAGATAAATAGCCTCAATAAAAATAGCCTCAATAAAAAGTATAAACCCTATCATTTTCTAAAATGCCGTAAAAATTTTAAGTGAATTTCACATTTGACTTTTTACAGCGGTTGTCTCAAAAAATGCTGTAAAAAGTTAAATTTACTTGACATTGATTACAAAAATGCCACTGCGTTTTCTTTATAGCGTTTCTTCTTAAAACTGATGTGAATGAGCATTGTGAAAAGCTTTTTTTTGTAGCAGCGCTAACCCTTTTCTACGAGACCCAACGATCATTGGTGACAATTACAATACTTTACTCACAAGTCCTTGGAAACTTTACAGTAATTTAAACATTTGAAGAGACCTTAAATTAATAAAATTTGTTACTTGACACCTATGTGTAATTTTCCCTGTTTTCTTTCTTCTTCTCTTGATGTAACCTTATTTAAAATTTTTATTTTTTATATACTTACTAATTTTAGAGATAATTATTTAATGAAATGCGGAATAAGGAATAATTACGATTTAATTATATTTCTAGGATATTTGAACAATTTGAATTTGTCATCACTTTAAGATTTATTTAGATTTATTTATATTTTAGTATTTTTCATTATAAGGATTAGTTGCTATTATTATTTTTATTTTATTATTATTTTAGTATAAGTAATTCTAGGATTATTTTTAGACTAAATTAAACTTGGATATTGCATCAGATTGCAGTTACTTTTTTTTCCCCCAGTTTTATCTCCTCTATGCTCTATCTTCTCAGGTCTCTTCCCTTCTACCCTTCTCCTATCTCTGATGTCTTTCTCATTTCCTCTTCCCATTTTACATAACCAGTCACATGCTTCACACAAAATTTAAGATTTAAAATAGATTATGCTGTGGCTAATAAAAAAAATAAATAACATGAATTTTATAAATACATAGCATGCAGACACACACATATATCAAAATACAATCTAATTTCAGAGATGTCTAGAATATAAAATTGGGTTGATATACTACTCTGACTAAAAATTAGGGGATCTAACTGAAAAAGAAAATGTGATTATAAGTTTCATACTTTACATGAAGCTAGATACAAGCCATATTATTATGAGGTCAAAAAAAGTCATGTTTGGTGAAAAAAAGTCATGTTAATTTTTTTGCCAACCAGTAAAGTCATGTTATTAAAAACATATAAATAATATTTTCATATTAAAAAATTTCCAGAGATCCTAAAACTCTTAATTATCAAATTTGTCTTAATTATTAATTTATTTTCTAAAAGTTAATTTTTATTAATTGAATTCTTAAGATCTCATAACCATTGGCACCATAAAGGACTAAGGGCAACGAATACAATAAAGATTAAAGTTCAAGAATCAAATTGATAATCAAAACAAATTTAAGAAATTAAAAAAAAAAAACTTATTCCTAAGTTTTACATATAATATGTCTATTTTGACCCCAAAAAAATATTATATGTGTATAAATACGAAGTGGCAAGGAATTTTGTTGTAGTCAACTTAAATAATAATAAATTAAACAGGAAAAAACGACGTTACCACCTACAAGCGTTTGTTTTGAACAGCCTCTTGTATTAAATTAGCAAGGCTTTCATGATTGGGTAAAATTTGACATAAGTCGTAACATTCAGCCATAATACTGATATATATTATCGTTCGATATGTGGCTATCCCTCCCTACAAAGATGTATCCTCTGGTAATTGAACCCGAAACTCAAAAGGATCTAGTACGGCCTTAAACTGCTAGACCAACACTTTGTTGGTAACGTTAATATTGATATAATAGAAAGAGTTAGTCCCTCATAACATAGTGAACTAATATTCAAATCCTTGTTGAAAGATGTGCCCATATATAGTATCATACATTGAATTGAACGGGATTTTCTCTAGTAGAAGAATACTTGTACCTAGCCATGTAACACCTTAGTTAATTACACTAGTAGGATTATTTTAATTAACATTGAACCACTAAGTCAGGTTTGATCATGGATCTCTTTTATTAAATCATTCTAAAAACTTCTCTCAAACTCAGGGTTTGATCCTATATAAGGAATGTAATTTTCTGAAAAAATTTTAACGTTTTGAAAGCTTACTTTTACTCTAACATGTTTAGTGGTTCAAGTATTTGATTTAACCATTTCTCAAAATTGGTAAAATTATCTTAAGACTTGGGCTCAAGCATAACTTCAATTGAACCAATCTTCACTACTTATAACTATCCACTAAATATAATTAAATCTATAATGAGCTGCAAAGCTTAATATTTATTGCCCTGATTTCTAACTTGCTTTAACTGACATCCATTGTTATCATCATAACAAGAGTTAGAAATTACTACCTTTGGTCCTAATTACGACCTCCGGTCCTAATTAGGACAGGAGGTAGTAATATCATACGCTTGTATAGATACCACCTCAGTCTATAGCACTTGTCTATCTCCAGCTATTAATTTCCTCCTCCTAACGGAGGGAATACATATATATTACACACACACATGCAAGTAAATACACCTTGTCAAAATATATATTTACATATAACCTATATATATATATATAATCAGTATAAAATATAAGTAGGCATTCCTGCTTCTTCTACCTTCATTCTTCTTCAATCACAATGCTCTTGCCCTTAGAGTTATCGGTCTTAATTGTACAATATGGAAGAAATGTGGGATGAGATTTCAAAGAATCCTCGTGGTAACAATTTCCATCAAATAATTATGCAACATCAACAAAAACATGCAAAACAAGCAATGAAGAAACAACACCTCCCAAGCTATGCCTAAAAGCAAATTATGTGCAAAACTAGATAGACAAGATGAAATCAATGGCGCGCAGATAAATGGCAAAACTATCCCTTGTCTATTAGCTACTCGTGGCCATGGCTAAATAATCCATACAAAGAAAAGATTACATGTTCTCATGCTTAACTACAGCATTATAGCACAGACAAACATATAGCGATCAAAACACAATCATAAGAGAGGAAAGAGCTACTACCTGGCACGCTTTCTTCCAAAACAAATCTTATTGTCCTCTTTTTCTGGTGATTCCTTGACAGGCTCGGGAAAATGCAACACCTAATTTTTTATATACTAATAAGGTCATTATAAAGTCTATGAATCACTGAATGCCAAGTTTCTGACGCGAGAAAAACTGGGTAAATTTTTTTCTTCAAAATATCCTTTCAAAACTCATACTTTTAAAGACCAAATCCAACGTAGGAGTTAAACCTAAAAGTAACATTAGAATTCATTGTCTAAAAATTAAAAATTTCAAAAAAATTAACGAGTGATTCACAATTTTACCCTACTTTCAACTTATTCTATTATACCTATAATGATTTCATACCATGAAATCTTACTAATAATACATTTAAGCATAACAACCATCTTGGTTGATGGTACTTACCTGTGCTCGACAAAGCACACCTCCCCTATGGAGGATACAAAAGTACACACACACAAATATATATTTAACAAGCAACTACTAGATATAATTAAATATTCTGCATATTTGTACAAAAAGAAGTAAGCATTCATACTCTTCTCACAGCCCATCTTCTTCTCTTGCAATCTCCTTTCCCTTACTACTACTTGCTTTGGCTGTATCATATGAAAGGGAGGATGAGATTCTAGAGAATCCTTGTAGTAGTAATTTTCATCAAATAAAAATGCAGATCACACAAAGCATGCAAAACAAGCCAGAGTGGAACATAACCTTACAAGCTAATGTAGTGATGCATCTATGTGTAATGACAGGAAAACAAGTTGAATAATTAATGTGCAAGTAACTGGCAGATATTGTTCAATGTCTATCAGCTACACAAAGCTAAAGCTAAATAATCTATGCAAGGAATAAAGGATTAGATGTTCTCATCTTTAAAATAGCAATATGGTACAAACAGACATGCAGCAATCAAACACTAATATCAAAACCTATTATATTTGTAAGGATATATTAATACTGGATCCAATTATAATTTATAAGTTAAATAACTTTCATTAAATCCCAATTTTTTTTAAATTTTACCTTTACTTAATAATTGGTCATTTTGGACAACTTTTCTTATTCATAATACGCCTTTTGAAATGTTTTCCTTCCTTTTGTGATTCCAATTGGTTACCTTACTTAATAACTAGTCATCTTGGTCAAAAGCATTATTTTTATATATTACATTAACTCATAACTTATTTTAGTTTGGAAAAATATTCATTTATATTTCATAGCTAATTGAACATCATTCTGAGTCGCTTGAACTTCATACAACCTTTCAATTAAATTTGGAAAATTCCCAAGGCTGAAGATTATTCCTTAAACCTTGCTCAAATCATCATTGTAATTCCTTAAAACCTAATTTAACATTTACAATAATTCCCCTACACTTAAGACATCAATCAATGACTTTATAATCCTATATTTAACTCTATACAAGTTTAGCACCCAAAATCATACAAGATCCAAAGTATATTCAAATCCAAGTTTATCAATTTCCATCTCCATAACTATTAATCTATCTATCATCTTTGAATCCTCAAACACACTTTCAATCATCCACATTAATTCCAACTACCCTTCTTGTAAGTTCTGAAATAACTTTCAACACAACACTTTGAAAAATCAACAATCTATCCCATTATATTTTCCTAACTTATCTTCTTTGGCCACCCACTATCTACTAATTTTAATTCTAATCTGCGTCATTCAATCTCTAAAGCTCTCCATTATATCTATTTTGTAACTATTATTTTATTCCCTTATATCTCCATCTCTTCCAGGTAAGAAGAGTTGATCGAATAGTATAGCGTCCTCTAAAAAAGAGTAGAGATCTTTCAATTAACAATATATCCAAAGATTTGGCTTTGGATAGAGCTCAATGGTGTCATGCAATCCATATAGCTGACCCTACCTAGTGGGATAAAGCTTTGTTGTTGTTGTTGTATATCTCCATCTCTTCAATTCATGAAAATCACTTCACCTTGCATTAATTCATTTCTAGCTTCTCTCTCAATCCTTTCTTAAAACCTTTATATAATACCTCCAAGTACCTTTGAACCATAACTTTGAAATCTTACATCAAGCTAGCTTCAATTAAGGCATCTAACTAAAAATTTAGAAACGTCATACTTGAATTTCAGTCAATCTCATCCTCAAATTATAGATATCAAATCAATCTCATCTACCCTTTATAGTCAGAAAATTATTCCTAGCTTCAGGACATGAGTTCAAGCCTATCCTTTAGAACTCAAAATCATAACTTAGTAACTTAAAGTAATTAAGACCATCCTTTAACTTTGAACCTTTCTTTCAAAGTTTCTAAACTCAATTTAAATATTTAATAACTTAAAATACTTGTTCAACATCTAAAGATACTAAACAGTAACTATATATTGAGTATTCATAGCATTACAGGCCTATAAACATTTATATATTTATATCTCCAATGATTCCAATAACCTTACACTCAAACATACTTCAACCAACAATTAGTGATCTCTAACACCTTTAAACATGACTCATAGTTCCTAATCATGAATCAGCAAAACCAAATCAAATTCCAGCTTCCATTCACTTTCCTATTACTTAATACCCCATAATGCTTCAACTAATCCCACCCTCAATCTGAAATTATTTTCCCACATTCAAACATACTTTAAATCATTATCCTATTGCTCCTAAGCATGACTTATACATCCTTTATCTGTAATTTAATCATTTTACGTTCTTTCCTAGCATTCACAAATATTAAACAGCCACTACTCCTTTATTTTATATCGCGCGCGCGCGCACATATATCTAATGTTTTACTCTATCCATTTACCAAGAAAGCACAACACAAAAATCACCACATATATTACGTAATTATTTTCTTTTATTTGCTGTGAATTCACTTCTACAACCAGAAACAACAAATGAATTTATATAATTTTTTTTTTCACATTCACACATCCTTCTCACTAAACTCGAACTTCACAGCCAAGAACAGGTAGATTAGTTTCGAAAATCACAGAACAACTCCATCTCCCATATTTACATTTCTATAAGAGAAGGACTGAGATTGATTATCTGATTACCTAGGAATACCGAAGCCACAACCATAAATATAAAAATCCCTGTTTCGGCTATCACAAAATAGAGCCACCCTTCACTTGCAGCAACAATAATCGATGTGCAAGCTAAAAATTATATTCCATTATCATCAACAAGCATTACTCTTTCATCATCATCAAGTTTCAGCCTTAACGGGGAGTTTCTCTCACTAGGACCCATACTTCTTTCATTATCAACACTCCAACCTGTCACAAATACCAAAAAACAAAGATGGGAGGAGGTTTAGGAGGGTCACCTTGTCCAGAATCCAAGCTTGCATGCTCGAAAACGGCCTCCGATCATCCGCTTCTCTTTGCCCGTTTCTCCTCTGCTCCTCTCGTCTCTGTCAATTCTCGGTTTCAGATGCAAATGAAGGGGAAAGACGGAGCTGATGACTTAAGTCAGGAAATGACCATTATACCCTTCAACAAGTTTTTGTCTTCGCTTTCATCGTTTTTCTATTTTTCTGTAATTTGTAAAATAAACCCCAAAAATTAATCCAAAATATTTTATACAGACCTTTCTTATCCAATAGCTTTTTTGACCCCTAAAATAATTTTCATAAAAATTTCCTGTCAAAAATCAATTCCCAACTATTTTTTTAAATTTTTCAAAAAAATAGCATTTAATTCTAGAAATTAGTTCTCAACTCATTTTAAGAATTTTATGCCTCAATTAGCTTCTTTACTTCACAAAATAATTATGCTAAAATTTCTAACTCGTATATAAATCCCTAACTATTTTTTGTTGAATTTTCTAGAAAAATAAATCATTTTTGTCCTAAAAAAAACTATAAAATTATTTAAGTCACTTTTTGAGAAATAAAATTTTTCATAAAATTCTGAAGTCCTCAAAACTAATATTCCATAATTTTTTTCAATTCATATTTAGGCTTTAAATAATTTTAATATATTTTCCTTTGTGTTTTTCTTAAATCAGAAAATTTGAGATGTTTTAGCAAATGTCAAAACCTAACATTTGTTAGCCCAAAAAAAAAAAACCTAACATTTATATACACGTAAGAGTAGGTTAATACTTATTCTATTTATAACTTAAATAACTTCCCTTTTGATTCCAACATTTATTGAAATTCTACCCATGTTGAGGAGTTGGTCACCATGGCAAAAACAATACATTCATCTATTATATTTAGGAATATTTGAAATGCCTTTTTTTCCCCCTCAATCTTTACAGTCTATTACATTTCTCGTATATGTATATTTATATTTTAATGACATAACCTCTACCGAAATCTCAAACTTTATTTCATTAACTCAACTCATCTGCTTTTTTTTTACACTTATTTGCTTACTTGAGAATTATTTTAATGCCCCAAGCATATCCTACACAATTTTATCTTTCGAATTTATGGAAATTATTAGACCAAGCAAAACTCAATTCCAATCCCGTCAGACTAGCTTGGCCAAAGAAGAATTGCTTTGAATTATAACATAAGAATCTTAAGCTATAACTTTAAGTGCAGTAAAATAATTTTAAACACTTATTACCATTTATATAGCTTAGCACATTGAAGACTTTACCACCTAGGATACTATTTTATTTTTATACATTAATTCATAACTTATTTCATATAACTTCACATTTTCGAACTCACCACGCTCTCCAACATTAAACTACTGTTAATAAACCTTATTATGCTACTTTCTCTTGTTTTTAATTCAATTTGATACCTTTCTATCTCAAACAGTTCCAAAAACAATGTTTAGACTCTTATTTCTAAATCTCTAAATATAATAACTTAGAATGCTTATTTACCATCTAAGAATACCAAGCAACAATTCCCGATTAACTTCCAAGCTCAGAGCTCTCAATTTCAACAATTTAAATCTTTAAACATCATCTTTTAGTCATTTAAAGTTTCTATCCACCATTTAAAACCCTCAAGCAAACCTTAAACAATAAATTCCAAATCAATTTCAGCTGCCCTTAATAATTTGAAAATCATTCCTAACTTTGAGACATCAGTTCAAGCCTATTCTTTAGAAGCCAAAATCATAACTTAGCAATTTAAAGTATTTAAGACCATCCTTTAACTTTAAATCAATTCCTAACTCCTACAATCCCAATTCAAGAATATGGCTTTAGACCTTTCTTTCGAAGTTTTTAAATTATTTTAATAACTTTATTTGTTTCTGTTTTGTGTTTTTTTCCCCTCAAAATAATTTTATAGAATTGTTTCATAAAACAAGTTTTGAAAACAAACAATCTGTTTCGATAATTGTTCTAAAATATTATATTTAAAAATAACCATATTGAGATCGGAAGGTGAAGTTTTGATGAGAACTCAAATCCTTAAATTAAATGGAGGAAAAGCCATCAAGTAGAGAAGAAAAGGTTTCTCAATTTTTCCGCATTAAAAATAAGAAATGCAAAAACCAAAAACAACTAAAAATTATTTAGTTTTAAAAACAGATTTCTGTTTTTTTGTTTTTAAAAACACTTAACTAAAAGTAAATTACCAAATATTTTTTTTATTTTTTAAAAAAACTATATTTCCAAAAAAAAAAACAAGGCCTAAATCTCGTGTTTATTTTCCTTCTAATTTCTTTTCAAAGTTCGTCTTCTTTATTTGTCTGCTTTTTAGTTCTTCATTGCTGTAATTTTTTTGTTGAGAGATAGTTTTAAAACTTTCATAAGACATCCAATTCACCCGTCTTGAGTAGCCACCTTATTCAACAAAGTTAAAAGTAATGAAAAGCTAATTTTTACATGCAACTTATATTTTAATACTCTTCCGGTCTTTAATATAAAATCTATTTAACTAATTTGATTAGATTAAAAAAGTTAGGTAACTTAGTTAATTATAAGAAACATGACATGTTTTTCCTAAAATATCATAATCATCTTCCTCAATATCCTCTCTCCTTCTTCTACTTAATTATGATTGAGGAAGTATCTATATGGGTAATTTAGGAAAAACTGATAAATATAAGAAATATGTCCTATATTTAGGACCAAAATCAACTTAAAAATTAGGTTGTATATTAAGGACCGGAGGAATATTTCATTAACTTGTGTGGTTTTCATAATTCAGAGTAATACGATGGGACAGATGAGCAAGTAATTTTATTTATTGTATACATATCTTAATCTTATAAACATGCTTTGTCTTATGAATTGAACTATAAATTATATTTTATCTTGAATTGAATTATAAATTATATTTTATATTAAAGACAAAAGGTAGTATTCGATAGCGCAATATAGTTTATTTAAAATTTGGATTTGTTATATACTTTCTAATTTTAGAGATGATTATTATGCCAGTCACATGCTTTGCACAAAATTTAAGGTTTAAAATAGATTGTGCTGTGGCCATAAAAAATAAGTAACATGAATTTCTTAAATTTATATTTTATACTATATAACCGAGGATATACATGTGTGAGTATATTAAAAGACTGGATTGATGTATTATTCTAACTAAAAAGTTAGGAGATCTTTTTTTTCATAACCAAAAAAAAAACAGAGAGATCTACTAGCAAAGAAAATGTGATTATAAGGCTCACACTTTGCATAGAGCTAGATACAAAACATATGATTGTAAGGTCAGAAAAATTTATATTATTTTTTTGTTAACCAAAAAAATTATTATTAAAAATTTATGAATGATTTTTTTTATGTTAAATTTTTTTTAGATAAGTCAGGTTGGCAACAAAAAAAAGAAAAACACCATAAGTTAGTCCTTATCGTGTTAATGTTTATGAAATTTTAAGGATTATAATAAAGATTAAATTTCAAGAATCAAATGGATAATTGCAACAAATTTAAGAAATTATTGTTCCTGAGTTTTATATATTATATGTGTATGCATAAACACACGAAATGACAAGAAATTTTGTTTTGATGCACTTAAATGATCATAATTTAAATACGCGAAAAACGAAGTAATAGCGCATAAGTGTTGTATTTGACAATAGGGGTGTTCAAATTGTCCCTTCCCGGCAGGTCCGTCCTGATCCCGGTAACTTTAGGACGGGACGGGACAGAATGTACCCCTGGGATGGGACGGGACACGAGACGGGGTCATCCCGTCCCTGTCCCGTCCCAAGGTATATATTATAAAAAAAAATTGCAATTTTCAATTTATCCGGTCCTCCCTTCGTCTCTTGAGCCCTAAAATTTTCTAATAGTTCATACTTCATACTAGCCGCGCCTTTCTTGCCGCTCTTGTGCTCTCGCCCCTCTCAGATCTCAGTCTAACTCTTTCCTTCCGCTGGCTTCAGAGCTGCCCGTCTCTTCCTCGTTGTTCCGCGAGAAGGTCTGTGCTCACTCCTTTCCCGACTCTCGCGCACAAGGAGATAGCTGAAGCCAAAGCCACATTTGGATCTTGAATCCGGACCACCGTCCCGCTAGCGTTCTTCGTCAGATTTTTTATCTTGCTCCCACACTTTGTACTGAACTCTCCCGCGACCTCGACGGCTTCGGCGCCTCTGCCTTCAGGCGTGCCTCTTCCTCGTCGTTCCGCACAAGGAGAGGAGTTTTTGTTAAAAAAGCAAGCAAAGGCCCAAAATTAACTTGAAATACAGTTGCTAAAAAAAAAAATAGGAAAGCATCAGGCCCAATTCAGAAAAGGTCCAAAACTCATTAGGGGGCAAACAAAAAAAAAGGGACGGGACACGGGACAAAAGTCCTATCCTGTCCCTGTTCACCGGGACAGCTCCCATCCGTCCCGTAAACACCCCTATTTGACAACCTCATGTTGTATTAAATTAGCAAGGCTTTCTTATTAGGATAAAATTTGACATGAGTTGTAACATCCAGTTTTAATACTAATTTCGTTCTTAATATAAAAGTTAGATAACTTATTTGAAAATTTAGAAAAATTAAAAAATTAGTTAAGTTAGTTATTTATAATAAATAAGTATTATTTTTTAAAAAATACATTAAAATTATTTTTTGGTGACATGCAAAGGGTATTAAGGCCTTATATTTAAGATTAAATCTAACCCCACAACTAATTCTTATATTTAGAATGGAAGGTAGTATTGATATTGATATACGCTTACTGGTCCATAAAATCGTTTTAACTAATCATCCAAATTAAAAAAAATGTAGTTAATTCATTAAATTTGTCGCAAATAAAATTTTTTCCTTAATTATACCCATATTAAATGAGATTGTGAAGGAGAGAAAAAATACATAAAAATACAAAATAAACATCAGTTATTAATTAATCTTCAAATTACTTATATTTTTGGATTAAACCACTCTTTTAGAATTGATTTACTCTTCTAATTCTTAATATAAGATTCATTTAACTAATTTAATTAGATTAAGTAAGTTAGATAAGTTAGTTAATTATAAAAAATATAACATGTTTTTTTAAAAAACGTTATAATCATTTTCTTTAATGTCCTCTACCTTTTTTTATTTGATTATGATTGAGAAAGTATCAATAAAAATAATTTAAAAAAATTAATAAATATAAAAAATAAATCTTATATTTAAAATTAAAATCAATTTAATAATTAAGTTTATATTAAATAAAAAGGAGTACATTGTAAATAGACAATAGACAATGGAGTGTTCATTTTGATGATACGGTCATACGGAGATAAAAATGTCGGAGGGTTTAACAATTTTGGTAGCAGGGAATTGAAGGCTGACAAGTGGAAGTGGAAGCGGAACCCATATTTTAGCTTGTTTGGTGTGACGGAACCCAGTTCCAGATGGAACTCACTTCCATCAAAATCGATGGAAGTGAGTTCCCTGCCTAACCCCATGGAACCGGCTTCCACCTCCAGTTCCATGAGTCATTTTCCTTCTCTACCCTTTGCTCTTTCTCCTTCCCTCCGCCAGCAATGATGGTCCTTTACAGCGACGGTGGCGAGGACGATGACTCCGGCGAGGACAACGGTATACAGCGACGACTCCGGTGATGACGACAGCCTTCATTCCCTGCAAAATCGCATCCTCTCTTCCAATTCCAGATCTATCGCGAGTTCTTCCAGATCTAGATTTGTCGTGAGCTTTTGTCCTTCTGAGAAGTTGTCTTCACCGGAGTCGACGTCGTAGGTGGCATTCTTCATATTCAGCATAGAAGACGCGGATGGTGATGATTTCCGCCGAGTCAATGGGGCTGACGAAAAGCTTGGAGCCTTTGACGCAACCGGAGAATGTTTGGAGGCTGTCTTGGCAGGAGGAGTCAGTGGATTCGTATTTCAAATCTGCCCTTTTTTAATGGTTATCTGTTTTAGCCATTTGATGGAAATTTCTGGTAATGAGGATGCCGTGATATGGAGAATGATGCAGAATCCAACAGAGAAGAAGGAGTATTTCGATTTTGAAGCTGGCAATTCTCCATGATTTTGCCGTTTTAATTTTGGCTATAAAAATTTTGCCATTTCGATTTGGACTTTTTGTTTCTTGCTTCCTTTTTATGGTGTCTGAGTTTTGGGTGATTAGACTATGCTATTTAGTTCTAGGAGACGGTGGCTTGAAAGCATGGTGGTGGATGGGTACTGGTCCGATGGCGAAGGGTGATGATGATGGGTGGAGTGAAGATAGCAATAAGGGTATTTTGGTCTTTTAACAGAAAAATTACATATATTCATTAAAATTTATATTCCACTTCCATCATCTTACCAAACACACTTTTGATCTCAGTTCCACTTCCATTTCTACCTCCACTTCCACTTCTATTTCTACTTCCACTCCCATCAAAAACTCTTCCATCATACCAAACGAGGCATTAAAAAGGTTGAGAAGCGGCCATATGGCGGCGCAAAAACCTGTGGGCTTTGCAAAATTGAGATCCGCGGAATTGAACCAAAAACCGGGGACGAGAACGGTACACTATCTCTCTGCGACTCTGCCTCCTTATAATAAATACGGAATCCCCCACTTTCTGACTTTTCTCAAAACAATCACAGCACCATGGGCACGTCCACCGATCTTTTTCTTCATACCTCACCTTATTATACACACGACGGCGCCGCCCCCAAAGTCAAAGCTCTCTTCGTCCATGTACGGACATCGGCGTCGGATTTCAACGACACATTGCCCCAATTCCTCACCGTCCTCTTTAATTCTTCCAATAGTTCTCTATCACTCCACCGCCTTCTCAATCATCCCCTTCCTCACTCTATCTTCGCCGCCAAGCTCAGCATCTGCTTACGGCGGCGGCGGCGGCAGCGTCCTTCCCAACCCTTTTCCTTCCAACTGTTTCACGAGGAAGTCTTGTTGTTAAAGGGAGCTTTGATCGAACAAAAAAACCAACGTCGCTGGACGTTGGACTGTAAATCTCAAGTTCATCTTCTACAGTCTTATTCGCACCCAATTTCAGAGCTTCAGCTTTGTTTTGCTTTCGATGATGGAAACCTCGCCGCCACGAACTGGGTGAGGCTTGCGAATCCTAAGGAGAGAATAAAACAATGGGTTATTAGTGGTGGTTACTTAGAGCAGATTCCAGAGGAAATGGAGCTTCCTTCAGAGGATTCTCATGAGGTGTTGGAGGACTTAGAACGACTGAGACGTTCCGTCGATTTGGGAATTTGGGTTCTGTTCTTGGGAGTCGGAGTTGGGTATTTGGTTTCTAGAGCTTCTGCTCGAAAGTTCCGTCCTCATTTGAATCTTTAAGCTGGTGTTTCTTAATGGTGACAACGCTTAAATTATGATTTGATTTTTATCTAAATACTCTCTAAATCAATTTTCATTTTGACGCTAACATTTAATTTTTGCTCCGTAAAGTTAAGCCAGCCAATATCAAAGCTTTTGCAGATAAAATAGATACTCCTCCGATCTTTAATATAGGACTCAATTATTGAGTTGGTTTTGGTCCTAAATATAAAACCCATTTATCATATTTATCAATTTTCTCTAAATTACCCCTATGAATACTCTTTCAACTATAATCAAGTAGAAGAGGGAGAATGAGTATTAAGAAAGATGATTATGGTATTTTAGGAAAAATATGTTACTTTTTTCATAATTAACTAACTTACCTAACTTCCTTAATATAATCAAATTAGTTAAATAGATCCTATATTAAGGATCGGAGGAGTATAATATGAACAGTTTAAATTTAAAATTTTTAATTAAATATTATCTTTGTTTTATATTTTATACTTATTAAACTAATTATTTTAAACAAATAAAAATCAAAAATTAAATCTAAATCGTTTAAATTAAATATAAGTAGTTTAGATTTAATGAATTTGAAGCGTTTATACGCTCAAATTGGTTCCGTGAAGAATCTTATTTTTTAATACGGTTTGAATTTTAAGCATGTCTACGGGACATGTCTCGTGAAGAGGACAAAGTGATAGGTATAGAAAGCCCAAGGAGTTGCTTCTTGTAAAAATTTTAAGTTAATAATCTCTAAGTGTGTTTAAACATCAAGATGTTTATGTTTTCAGTAAAGCCAAATTTAGTGTCATGAAAATTACTGGCTCATGTGTGTTTTTGTTTTTTGTCTTTTATTTTTAAAATAATTTTATAAAATTGTTTTGTAGAACAAGTTTTGAGAGGGAAAAAAAAAAGAAAGTTTTTTTAGATGATTATTTTAAAAATCACATTCAAAAAATAACACAAAACTTATTATCTATGTCCAAAGAAAACAAATTATAAAACATCATAGTCAAACAAATAAATAATTGTTAAATGAAATATACCATAAGTTATAACTTAACTACAATTATAATTCATCAAATATTATTCACATATCACATGATTAAGTAAAAAGAATACAAAATAGAAAGAAAATTTTTAATTTAATTTTACCACCACAAAAAAAATCAATCATTATCACAATCATAGTGCTATTGGTTTGCTGAGGAGGTTATTGAAAACTAAACCCCTCATGTAACTAATCGGGGTCGAGATCTTCTTAGTATTCAATTTTAGGTAAGGGAAGAGAGAGAAAATAAATTGAGATGTATCCTAATTCGGTCTCTATAGAGCTATGTCCAGTCCCTAGATTCCACTAGAGATTTTTAATCCATTATCTCCCTCAAGTTTCAATCAGTTACTTAAGAACTACTAAAACTTCCTCAAGTTTTCCATAGGTACTTGAGAACCACTCAAATGCATAAAAACACCATACCGAGGTAAGCACTCCTCCTTATACTCATAAGGATTCACTTCCCTTTACACACCATAAGGTTACAATCTAATGATTAAAATGAAACTCAAATAATTCTTCTCTCAAAAAGTGATAACTAACTCTTAAGCACATAACAAACTTTCTTTTCTATCTCATAATTATATGTGCATAATCTCTGAAGCACAAGGAAATAGAGTATTCTCTTGGACTCTAAATGAAGATATGTTAATTCAAAATTTTAGCACTTTGATGTTACAAGCTTAAACTCTCTTTGTTCCTCTGACTTTGAATGGTTTTTCTATTTATTGTTGATATTCGACATTTGACTGTTAAGCATCTTCTTCCTGTTTTGCTTAAAAAATATGACCGTTGAAACTAGCCATTGAAAGCTTCTCACATAAAGTAGCTAACCATCGTCATTTTTCTGTTGAGCCTTTAATCTTATAATAATCTTGCTCAAAACATGTGATCAGTGGCTTATCAATCATTAACATTGAAGGATGATCATGGCCTTGAATTAAAACATAAATCCTTAAGTTATCAAAGAGATTATATCTTTCAGACTGAATAACCTTACTCAATAAAGTTTAGGAAGCAGGCTTATCGATAAGGCATTCGGGAAGCTTCAAAAGAAAATACTTGCTAAGCTAAGATTTAGAGAACTTAGAACTTGAAGTCATAATTGAGAAGATGTTTTATAGAGGAGTTTATTAGGAAAAGCTCGTATAGAGTAAAGGGATTTCAAAACATGATTCTCGAGAAGTCTATCGTTAATAAAAAGCAAGACTTAGATATATTAAAGCCAAGAACTCGAATAGCTTATTAGGAAATAGATTTCCTGATAACTTATCAAGAAATAGATTTTTTGATAATGTTATCAAGAAAAAGTCTTTAGAAAACTCTTCGTTTTGAAAGTAAGTCTGCGAGCACTCGAGCTCCCTATCAAAAAAGAGTTTACTCGATAATTTTATCAAGAGTTCTCTTGATAGATAAAGTACTCGAGAAGCTTTTTGGTCTCTTAAATTAGATCCTTCAATTAAAGATCCTTAACTCAAGTTGTTACTCAAGTAGGTAGATGCTTGATAAAATTTTCAAGTAAGAAATCTTATAATAGAACTTCTGATGCTAACAAAATGAAGGTCAATTTTGAGTGATCATAAGTCTTTCAATTCAATTCAACTCTAAATAACAAATAACTATCACCAGAAAGCTCTTTGAGTTTACTTTCAAACGCAATAAATTTCACTCCAAAATTCATTGTGATTTCAAACTTATCTTTATCATAGTTACTAAAGGTTAGGGACAAGGTGTAAAACCTTAGTACCATATTTTGAGCAGCTCATCTCCTTCATATGATACTCATTAGAGTTGATCTTGGTGTCCATGAACCATGTTCTGAGTTTAGGTTCATATGAATTAAGTTTCACCTCAAACGGATGTGCAGTTTAGGAGATATTTGAGAAATATCAAACATGTGTCAGAACTAAATGAAGAACAGAGCATAATATAGTATGTGATTTCTCGATAAAGTGTTAGAGAAGCGTGAAACTCGAAAATGAACTCAAGAAACACATGTAAAAATTATCTCTGAAGCTTATATTTGAGTTTAGATGAAAAGGTGACTCTAGGTGTGTTGATATAACTTCCGATTGGGCCAGTTTAACTTCTAATTGAGCATAGGAACTTTCAACATCAAATCTAAGAACTTAAATCTTAATATTCCCATTTGATCTTACAAGTTCTTATTTCTCTATATTTGTTCTTCTTTTTGGAATCAATCTCATGATATCTTCTTTCTTTTCTTGACCAAATTACACAAGATAATCACATTAAGTATAGTAGTTAGTCAAAGTATAAGATAAAACTTTGATACAAACTTTTTACTCCAATACTTGACATCATCAAAATTAGTCATATCTAACACATGTCATTGGTTCTTGTTTCTGCTCCTTCCTCATAAGCCAATGAGTATGTTTTGGTTTGGCATTTCTTTAGTTATGGTTGCCTTTATCATCTCTAACCCCTACTCTGTGATCAATTAGTGAATGGTCCCATTCTTGGTGCTTCGCTTTACACCCCTTCTTGTCACTTAAATACCTATAGTTTCATTATTCCTTGCTTGCTCACAAGAACTAAGGTATTCTTTGTAATCTGGCTCTAAAGTTTACATCTTTTTTGTGTTTTTTTGCTTTCCTTTTCTCTCCTTAAACTTTTATCAGGCTTCATTGTTTTTCAATGGTTTTGTCTTCAACTGGGTATCCTCGATTCCATTCTTCTTCACTATGTTGGTGCTTTATTCCAACCAAAAGCCATGGTAGAAACTAACACACTTTCAGTTCTAACAAGTGCTTCTTCATCTTTTTTGCTAGTAATTTTTGTTCCTTTTATTTTTGGCTTCATTGGTCTGGACTTAATTTGCATTGAGCTAATTTATAATTTATTTCATATATTATTAGCTTCATTTAGTTTTAACTTAATACCACTACTACAGAATTATAAGTACTTGACATCAAATACTCAACAGTTATGAGAAAAACTGTCAAAAAAGGTGAGGAGGAAAAATGTGTAAAACAATACTTGATAGTTTTTTCTAAAAACCGTCAAGTATTATTTCAACATACCGTCAAGTAATTGTCAAGTATTAAGAGGCAGACGAATAATTGATGATTTTTCTCAAAAACCATCAAGTATTTTGAAATAATACTTGACGGTTTTTGGGAAAAACCGTCAAATATTTAGTTATAAATATCTAATATGCATTATTCTCTCTTTCAAATTTAGTCACCTGTTTGCTTTTACACTGTCTTCCAAAGAGTCTAACTACTCCATTTCTGCGACCTATCACTATTTTTGTACTCTCTTCTTCTACTTTTAGTTCGTGTGTGCTTGTCTATCGCCTTCTACCATCGCCTACCTCTATTCTTTGTGTTTCTTTGCTTGTTGCCATCGCCCATAGTCTCTTTTGACTTCTCTTTCACTCATCATGAACCAGGCACCTCTCCATTCTATAGGTTCACATTTCTTTCTTCTTGTTCCTCCAATTATTTGCTTGTTCCCATTTCTTTCATTTGCATGTTTCTTCTCCTCTATGCTTGCTCTTCTTCTATTTTTGAACCCTTATAACAGGATAATCAAAGTAAAATGCAAAGCAATAGTATAACCCTTATAGCTAATACTATGCATATATCGAGTGTTAAGGATAAAAATCCCATCTATGCAAGTATGTCTTACTTTGGGGTGATTGAGCATATTTGGGAGTTTGATTACATTAGATTTAGAGTTATAGTATTTGGTTGCAAGTGGGTGGACAATAACAATGCATTGAGGGTTATGTTAGTGGCAGTCTCATCCAAGAGGGGGGTGAATTGGGTGAGTTATAAAAATTTACAAAATTAAAATAAAGAACTATCAGAAACAGAGAGTGTGTGAATTTAGAATGATTTCACCGTAGAGAGAGGAAGACACAAGATTTATACTGGTTCGGTCTCAACCACTTGACCTACGTCCAGTCCTCAAAACACCTCTGAGTATTTCACTATGTTCCAAGATTGATCGGGCTCTTGGCATCTCAGTACAGTAATTAAAACTCT